TTATGACTCCATCAATTTTTTTTTAACTCCCCCATTGGTCTAACTTAACTTAATTAGGAATCGACTATTTTCTGTTTGGAAAGAATCCGTTTTGTTGTCCATTTCTATGTATTCCATTTATAAATTTGACCAATAATTTTTTATTTTTCGAAAACGACACGGATTGTTCATGAAATTAACCATGTAGAGATTCATTAACACTCAACTGATTTTGTTTTACTGAAAATATTGTTTTTTTCTTTTGTTTCTTGTTAATTACATTGCACCATTGACATTTTGTACATGAGATATTAGTTGTGTGTAATATTGATAATATCGAGATTTTTTTAAACTAACAGATTTGATAAAGTATTTAACAACTGACCATAATGCATGCATTGGTCAAATATGTTTTGTAATTCTTGTTTTACCTTTTAGGTAATACCGAACCTTAATTTGGAAGGATAAATAAGGTATTTGACATGTATTTCACTCACTATAAAAACAATACTCGACACTACTACTACTCACTCACCTTATAGAAAATTTAATACCAACAACAAGAACTCCATGTCTAAGACAAGCTTGGTCGTACTGACTAGAGGTGGAATTATTATCCGGGATCCGAGAACCGATCCATTATCCGTTCGGAATCGCTCCGAAAATTAGGATATCCGGGGAGCCCGGATCCAGATAAGGATAGTAAAATCTAGGATCCGTGAAAAAAGGATTCGGATCCGGATAACAAAATTTTAAGGTCCGGATATCCGAATCCGGATCCGGACGCATTAAATATATTAAAAACATATATATTATATATCTATTAAGCTAATTTTATATAAATAAATATATATAAAAATTGATTTTAGTTTTTTTTATAATAAATTATATTTATAATGAAAAATATCATTTAAAATATTAATTAATAATTTTTAAAAATATATTTTTATTTATTTAGTAATTATTTTAATTATTTTTAATATTAATTTCGGATCCGGATCTGGATATCCGCGGATATCCGTTTTTTTGGCCGGATATCCGGACTCCGGATATCCGGAGGTCCCGATTCCGGTCCGGATAGTTTTTTTCACGGATCCGACGACTCCGGATCCGAATCCGGATACTTTGAAATTACATGATATTCGGATCCGTTCCACCCCTAGTACTGACGTCTTTTTAAGTTTCCAATGGTGGTAACCAAAATAGAGAGAAGAAAGCTGGTTACTTCAACTATGAACTAAAGCTTGGCTTCACCGTTCGACTATACAACGATATTGACCTTGCCATGGACTTTAATTTCAGTTGTTTCCGACAAGCATTAGAGTCCATGGCAAGGTCAATATCGTTGTTTCCGATATTGACCTTTTCAGAGCTGATTTGATCTAACTACCCTCATGCAGCTCCTAATCAAGATCCACCAAAGTTATATCTATCTTTCGTTTTCAGTTCTGATTGTTTGCCTCTTTAATTTCAGTTGTTTCCGTTTACATGATATATATATGTACTAATTAAATTGATCAAATCATTATACAATAGTTTTTGCATGGTTTTAGTGATCAGTTTGGATTATATTATCATGCTTTATTGAAAATAGAAATAAAAGAAACCGAGTATGAATTAACTTTGGAAAATAAACAACAATAAAACTAATTTGACCGAATTATTGGATTTATATTTTGTTTTTTGGTCAACAATATAGAATATATAAACACAAACAAATAGGTTATAACCAATGGACAATTGTAAAAATGTCATTTTTGGGTTGTCCATTTGCAAAAATGCTATTATTGGTTATCCATTTGTAAAAATGCCACTAATTATAAATTTTTAAAGCCTAAACCTTAAAAWWKWAAAYCCAAAAAAATGTTTTGAGCCCTAAGAACTCCTAAACTCTCAAACATAAGCCCTAATACAACATAATTAACCCACACATAAATGATATAACGAAAAAATAATTTTGATAAAGTGACATTTTTGCAAATATTTTTAAAATATGGCATTTTTGAAAAGTGGCACTTCAAAAGTGGCATTTCTCAAAATTTCTCTATAACCTATTGGTCATAGTCGGTCGATTCAGTTTATATGCAACACGCATAACATACATGAATAAGCTTATAAACAAAATCGACACTATTTTTTTCTAACAAAAAACTCATAAGTTAATTGGTCATCTTTTTTTTTCTTGGTAAAATGTAGGAAAGTACCAATTTTGAATTACTGGATTTATATTTTGTCTTCTGTCAACAATATAGAAAATATAAATTTATATTCGGGTGATAACACAGACAATACAAACACAAACAAATAGGTTATAACCTATATAGGTCATAGTCGGTCGATTCAGTTTATATATTGCAATACCCATAACATACATGTATAAACTTATAAGCAAAATCGACTATTTTTTTCTAACACAAAACTCATAAGTTAATTGGTCGTCTTTTTTTCTTGGTAAAATGTAGGAAAGTGCCAATTTTGAATTTAGTTTAGACTTAATTTATTAAAAACGGTTGTATATATAATGATTGGCATGCATACACACCTACGTCTTCTAGCTCTCTTTGCTTTCTGTTTTTCTACACATGCATACACGTATATAATTAAGAACACATTCAAATATCACAAGATAATAATTATAAGCTTCTTAATTTTTATTCAAATTAAGATGTTTTTGATACTTTTGATTGTGCTTATACAGGATGAGCATCTTAACCTATCTATATATTAGTGGGCTAGAATTAAAGAATATTTTAGCCTATATTGTATCAAATGGGGTTTGAGAGTATGAATCTAACGCACTCATTTTGCTGATTATATCTTTAAATTGACCGAATCTTAAAAGATGAAAAAAAACCAAAGTGTTAAAACAGAGAAAAGAGATGCAACATTGCTTTTCTGTGCAAATTGCAATCGATGTGTATAATATACTAATCTACACACTTTTAGGTTGCTTCAGTAGATATGATCTCCAGCTCCGCCCACCACCAGATAACCTCGGCAACGCTACTTCAGACGTTATTCCGGTGATCTCTCTCAGCTTAGCCACCACTTCTTTAATTTCTAAACTCTGTTTCAAACACTCCAAAACTCCTTCCCATAATTTTTGTAGGACATTCCCTTCCTCAAAGTTTTTTAATGTCGGATCCACAACGGGCTTAGTTTTGTAGAGTAGAAAATCTGGTTTCAGAATCTTTCTGGTGATGAACTCTTGCAGAATAATCATCGGAAAGTACAAATGAGAGTTGGGTTTGTTTATTTCATATTAGTATCTTTGTTTTGTAGATATAATACG